CCTGTTTTTTTTATTCCATGGCATATCAGTTTCCTGTACGCGTGGACCATTTAGTACTTCGCTACTTTGGGGCTCATCGCAGAACATGCATCCAATTGGGGTGATCAATACATAAATGCAACAAAATTCGCAGCAGCCAGGAGTAGCTCCCACCTGTGTAAATGTGCAGGAAAGCTGTTCAAATCTTAGACAACCAGTACGTGATTATTGCAACCAATCGCTATGCCACTTTTGATCGTTTTCGCTTGATTTTCTTAGTTTTATTTTTCGGGGAAAAAATATGGCTCTGCAGATATTTTCAGCTCCGATCTCTTCTCTTCACATTGCGACGCTCCATCGAGCAAGAGCCGCGGAATTCGTGGCGCGGCGACGCCTTATGTAAGGGGTACTGACAACTTTTTTCCGAGGCGAGTAAAACAGATCTCTAATATACAGAGACAGCTCTTAGCAACTGTGATGCTCAGCAAACGGTGATAAGATATTTTACTTTGATATTAGAGTCAATTTTAAAGTTACAGCAGCTTTTAAAAGCATGCTGTAATTAATTTTTCAGGGCGCACTCACACTTACGGGTACATATCCTACGGCCTTGGGGGGCTTAGGCTATCATTTGACACACACACACACACACACACACACACACACACACACACACACACACACACACACACACACACACACGTGCACACACACACACGTTCACACACACACACGTGCACACACACACACACACACACACACACACACACACACACACACACACACACACACACACACACACACACACACACACACACACACCACACACACACACACACACACACACACACACCACACACACACACACACACACACACACACACACACACACACACACACACACACACACACACACACACACACACACACACACACACACACACACACACACACACACACACACACACACACACACACACACACACACACACACACACACACACACACACACACACACACACACACACACACACACACACACACACACACCACACCACACACACACGTGCACACACACGTGCACACGTGCACACACACGTGCACACGTGCACACACACACACACACGTGCACACACACACTCACTCACTCACACACTCACTCACTCACACACTCACTCACTCACTCACTCACTCACTCACTCACTCACTCACTCACTCACTCACTCACTCACTCACTCACACACTCACTCACTCACTCACACACTCACTCACACACACACACTCTCTCTCTCTCTCTCTCTCTCTCTCTTCAAGTAAAAAATTCTGTCTCATACCCCTTGAAGACCCTTTTTTTTTTTGCTGTTTTCGACGACAGCACACTGATAAAGCGCTGTTTTCTTGATTACTACCATGTAGTTTGTTGTAAGACTTCACCACAAGGCAGGCGCGCAGCCAGAAATTTTTTCGGGAGAGGGCACCATCTTTTTCTGGAGGACCTTGATTTCGGAAGGGGGCACCAGCTAATTTTCAGAAGGGGCATTCCCTTAAAATGGCCATTTTCTGCTCTCTATTTCAAAAAAAAAAGGAAATTCGGCAACTATAGAAAAGACATCACAAAGAAAGAACACTTGAACAAGTCGAGCACAAACTACCAACTGTTTGATTGGCTGTAGGTCGTTGGTTAAATAGGGACACTGAACATAGCTGCCCCGACGTGCCAGGATAGATCACATGCTAACGCACCTTATTGATCAGAAAGGACATTTCTGCACCGTAGAGCGATATCGAGGCCTTACTGACTCAGCCATCACTTTTCATGTTAATGAAAAACGCTTCCAAAACCTCACGAGCAGACGTGTTTCTGCTATGTCTTAGTATCGATAGTGTACTACAGTGTACGAGGTTGTTGCCACAACCGCTGTGCACAAATACCCCGCCACGGTGGCCTAGTGGCTAAGGTACTCGGCTGCTGACCCGCAGGTCGTGGGATCGAATCCCGGCTGCGGCAGCTGCATTTCCGATAGAGGCGGAAATGTTGTAGGCCCTTGTACTCGGATTTAGATGCACATTAAAGAACCCCAGGCGATAGAAATTTCCGGAGCCCTCTATTACAGCGTCTCTCATAATCGTATAGTGGTTTTGGGGCGTTAAACCCGACATATCAATCAATCCAAGCTGTGGACGAAACCATGGTCGTTCGACATGATCATGTATGGCGACAACGTTACTGACAGAGCTCCAAAAGTGTGCACGTGGCCAACGCTCGACCAGTCAAAGCAACGCTCCTTTCCATAAACTCTGTTGACAAAACCGTGGCAGTTTCGATGATAGATAGCATAAGACGACTTAGTTTTGAAGGCGTGTGGATTGAAAACAAAACTACTGTTTGCCGCAACCACAGCGCACAAAACCGCAGTCGCAGCGATGCAATAGCGATCTACGAGCTCCTAGAGCACATGGCTGACGCAGCAGTAGATTAAAGGCGGTAAAGACACAAAAAAGGCTAGAAAGTGTTTTGGCATTTCTGTTTAAAGAATCTAGTAGTGAGCAAAGCCAAAGCTTTGTGCGACCTGCACTTTTGCGGCAGCCAGCTGCGCCGTCCCGTCCCTTCACGTGTGAAGACATACACGGTGTTTTGACAAGAACCGATTTTTTCGCTAGTTGTTGTGATACTAAATTTCAGGAGCATTTTCTCTCCCCCTTTGAGACTCTCACCTTATAGTGGGAAACCCCACCCTAGTGTGTTCGGGCAGTCCAAGCCATTATAAAACTGCAACGCCGATGTTTGCGTTTGGGCACCCCCCCTTGTTTTTCGCGATGTTTTTTTTTTTTTCATTTATTTCTTTTGGTGCCGAAAATGGGAGGGGGGAAAATAACTCACCATGTGGATTTGATTCATCACGGCAAAACATGATAATGCTTGTCACTAAGGCAACTCCATTACAGCTACAAATGAAAAAAGGGTGTCGATTACCCCCCGCACCCATTCCCCGCTCGGGAGTTTTATGAATTTCTATGTTGCCAGGTTGGCAAGTACGCTGGTAAAAGCTCAAATTGTCGAGCGCGCTCATGAGAGCTCTGTGATTGCCAGTGAGCCTCGTGAGTTGAGGAGGGTATAATCTGAACGGCCTTGGTACATGGTGTGTTACCAAATTAGCGGTGCAAATGGTTTGATTATGCTCTAGCCTGAAACAGCTTCAAAACACTGACAAAACATTAAAAAAACTGTTAACATACGGAAGTCTCCAGCTGCAGTCTCATAGTGAATGGAGTCAGAAGTGATGAAGGTTACAGCCTTGATACTACTCTTATGCGAAATGAGCATTGAATTTATGAATTCACCAAGGAAAGAAAAATAGTTGGTGTAATAGACTTGTGTGTATTGTTTTATTGATACTTTCGATAATTTGTAACTCTATTAATCTGGACATAGTTTTTTCATTCCATTCAATTCCATTAATCTGGACATTTCTTCAAGTCCCATGGTCGTATAACCACAGGATTAGAAGTCTCCCAGATTTGACCATTCCTTACTTTTGTACGGTTGTCATGAAAATTTTCCGGAAATTGAAATTTCTATGCGTGATCTAGCCGCATTAACAAATAATGCAGGCCAATCTGATCCAGACTTTTTTGTGAACCCATAGCTACCTTTCTAGCAACTCTACCATTGCATTTTGCAAACCCATCGCTTTTGCAAAACAGTCGCAGTGATGCAAAACCAGCAGATACAAATTAGCGAAATTCGCCCGCCAAATTTCACAGAGCTCTCATAAGCGCGCTTGTCAATTTGAGCTTTTACCAGCATACGTTCCAACCTGGCAACGGAGAAATTCGTAAAACTCCCGAGCGGGGAATGGGTGCGGGGGAGTTATCTACATCTTTTTTTTATTAGTAGCTATGATAGTGTTGCCTTAGCGACAAGCATTATCATGTTTTGCCGTGATGAATCAAATCCACATGGGGAATTATTTCCCCCATTGGGACGAATTCCTATGCTGCGAACACTTTTCCTCATCGTGGCAGGTGATTTGCACATCTTTTGTACCAAAATCGTCGAACAAAACCCGAGAAACAGTGTACTCAAAGCTTCGGTAGTACTATGCGTGTGGCGAGCGTACACACTGTCTTTTACGCGTGTGGTTGTCGTTTGCCACAACAGCTGTGGACGAAACCGCGGTCGCTCTTTACATGATCATGTATGGTAACGACGTAAATGACGGAGCTCTGAAAGTGTGCTGACGTGCAACGCTGCGGACAAATCTGGGAGATGTGGTCATAGATAGCAAAAAAAAAAAAACGTAGTTTTGAAGGCACTTGCTCAACCACCGCAGGTAAATTGAGAACTGAGCTATTGTCTGCAGCAGCTGCCGCGCACGAAATTGTTGTTGCGGCGATGCGATAGTGATCTACGAGCACTGAGGGCACGCAGTTAATGCAGCGGTAGATCAAAAGGCAATAAAGATGCAAAAAAAAAAAAGGGCTAGAAGCGTGTTGGCGTTCCTGTCCAAAGAATCGAAGAACATAGTGAAATTTCGACCCATGCTTTCGCGACGGGCAGCTGCTCAGTCTCCTCCGTTCACCTGCGTCCCAGGAAGACATACGCCAGTTTTTTTGACAGAAATGATTTTGCTAGTTGTTTTGATGACTGGGAATTCCGGCAGTATTTGCGCTTCCCCTTCGAAGTTCGCACCTTAGCTGGAAAACACTACCCTTGTGTGTTTGGCCGCTCCAAGCCTTTGTAAGACCGCAACGCCGATGTTTGTTCTGACTCCCCCCTTTCCTTTTTCGTGTTTTTTGTTTTTTTCTTTTGGTGCAAAGAAAGGGTGTAAATAAATCGGCACGATTTCCCCCGCCCTCCCTTATTCTAATCGCGAAAATCTCCTGGATTCAGAATCCCTGAACTTGGCTGGTATGCGTGGCATCTGGTTTAACGAGCTTTTACCTAATTGTACTAGAATGTCCAAGAGCCTTTTTGAATTTGCAGCATCGTGTATCACCGCTTCTTTCTCGTGATGCAGGGTACAAGCCGGCCATCGCACTACCATGTGCTCTGGGACGACAACCAGTTCTCGGCGGATGAGCTGCAGTGCTTGACCTACCAGCTGTGCCACACGTATGTGCGTTGCACACGCTCTGTGTCAATTCCCGCTCCAGCCTACTACGCACATCTAGTGGCCTTCCGGGCCCGATACCACCTTGTCGAGAAAGAGCACGACAGGTACGTCTCCACTAATCTTAACCTAATGGACCTCTAGTATACATACCACTGTTGGAGCTGCTCTGATGTGATAGCTGTGCCAAACGACCAATCCTGCTACATCCCGCTACATTTTTGCTGTTCTTCGTCAAAGCTGCACCAAATAATGTTTTGATATTTGGAAGACAATAGTCTCTCAAGTGCTATATATAGCTTGCACTACCATTGCGAGTGACGTCTTTTCCGTGCTTGTGCCACACTGCAGGGACTCTTAGAATGCCCAATTCAAGCAAAAACTTGCGCGCTTGTGCAGGGCAAGTTTGCCGACCCGTTTATTGCACCATAAAAGGCTTCTGGCGTACCATAATTACTCGAATCTAACGTGCACCTTTTTTCCGGTTAAGCGAGTTCATAAATCGCATGCGCATTAGAATCGAGTACAAAAAAAAAAAATGAATACGGTCGTTCTATTGCCATCGGCATTCTAAAATGGCCGCCCCCTACGTGCGTCGGCATGGCGCGTCGGCCATTTCTGTCTACGTGTTTCCCATGTGCGGCACTTTGTACGTGTGCTGAGGAGTTCGTCATCTTGGTGCGCATTAGCATCGACGGCATGGAAGGGCCGACTCCAAAAACTCGACGAGTGCACCACCGTGCCGCTTTTAAAAGAAAAGTCATCGCGTGTGCCGAAACAGACGTGAAGCGGGCTGCATCGCGATCGTTTGGAGTTCCCGAAACGTGCGTGCGGGAGTGGCGGAAACAAAAGCAGAAGATTGTCGACAGCAAAGCTTCACGCAAAGGCTTCAGTGGACCACAGCAAGGTCGGTTTCCGCGAATTAAAGAGCTGCTCGGCGATTATGTGCTTGGGCAGCGAGCGGCACGGCGGCCCGTGACGACAGAACTGCTCCAAGTGCGGGCTATGCAGTTAGCCTTAGAATAGAAAAAGGGCTAATGCGGAGCCAGTTTAAAGCGAGCAGGTGCTTGCTAACTAACTTTATGAAGAGGAAAAGCTTTTCCCTTCGAAGGCGACCAGGCATATGCGAAAAGTTTTGCAGAGGAGTACGATGAAAAGCTTCACAGTTTTCAGAGGTTCGTCCTAAACTTGCGGCACAACAACGGCTACCTGCTTGGGCAAATCGGGAATGCTGATCAGACGCCTCTTTACTTCGACATGCCTGGCACCACAACTGTCGAGAAGGGGGTGAAGCAAGTTCGCGTGCTGACATCGGTCCACGGTAAAACTACAGTGATGGCAATGCTCTCTTGCACGTCGGATGGGCACAAGCTTCGCCGTACCTCATATTTAAATGGAAGATGCTCTTGAAAGGAGTCGTTTTTTCGAGTGTTGTCGTTGTGCGGGGCAGCGAGAAAAATGGGTGCGCGTTGCAATCGATGTCTTATGTGTTTTTTTTTTTTTTCGTCGTGGAAATCGGGTGCGCGTTACAATCGAGGGCGCGGTAGAATCGAGTAAATACGGTAACTTTCGGAAGGAGTGAATATCTGCACTATAATCGAAGTGCCATTGTTCAAATGCATAAAGAATGTAATGAAGAGGCACCTGTGGTATTCCAAAAATCAAGTTAGGCAACCAGGGTGTGCACTCGAATCGGCTTTTAAATTTGCAAATGAGTAAAGGCCAATCTTCAAGGACCTGCGTCACTGACAAAACAAAAGCAGAAGAAAAAAGGCGCTGTAGCAGACTAACAAACTTATCAGAGCTTCTTTGTGCTCCGTTCTGTCTTGCAGAATAGCAACCAAAATGCGCTTTTGCTTTCAACTGTGATGTCGAAAGCAGTGACAAGTGCAAACCACCACTCGAATGTTGCAGGTGTGCGCCATGCATGAGCCTACCAATCTTGCATATCCACCTTTTTGAGGCAAAGGAGAAAGCCCGTAATTCAAAACACAGCCTACACTGATGGTACTATGCACTTGACAAAGACCTGGGCGCCTGTTCACTGTGGAGCAGGGGTGCAACAGCTCCCCATGTTTGTGCCGAGCTGTGCCAAAATGCCCGACCAGCCTCCAAATTTTCTCAGTTTTCTGAATTTCAGCAACAAATGGAGGTGATGTAGGCCACCTGTAGTCATCAATAAATCCAGATATTCAAGTGTGTTAATGCTAACTCTAACCCATGGGGTAAGACAGGTACTCATTATGTCAGGACACTTGCGAGATGTGATCTACCAGATAAAGTAACGACGCCGCGCACCTATCTGTCTACTTACCGTAGCGGATCTCTATCGGCAGGACAATGAAACTTCACAACAAAAATGCGGGAAATATGAATTGCGGATAATATGAAATTTCTAGTCTGCAAATGCGGCTATGGCATGTAACGAACTAAAGCTGGAAGCGTATTCCGCTTTCACTGTGTGCAAACAAACTAGACGTGCTGTAAGCGCCACCTTTGTCAGCAAGCACATTGGTTACCATAGCTGTACGACTAGCGCCACAGAGTTTGGGTGCACATTAAAAAACCCCAGGTTATCGAAATTTCCGGAGCCTTCCACCATGGCGTCTCTCGTAATCGTATGGTGGTTTTATGACGTTGAGGCCCCACGTATCAATGAGCAACCAGCGCAACAGACGTAGGGACGACACTGGCACCATGATGATCAGTGCAAGAATAATGACGTTTATTGAGCCACAACATATAAAGGCACGCTCAAGCGCCCTGAACATACTGCACATCACTGCATATCAGTACCGTGGACTCCCAATAAATGAAACTCGCCAAAACGAAAATGCCTCATTAACAGAACTAAACAGGCTCATATGGCTGGATTTCTATGTGTTGCCCAGTAAAATTTATTGGTTAATCGAAACAGTGCTTATTGGTCACCTACGGTTAAACAGCACAAACTCTAAACACAGCATAGACTCGCTTATGCCAAAGGTGTTCTCACAACCATGGCAACACCTCGAAATCGAAACAAGCCAATCCAGTAGACATTCCTGCTTGTGGCTGTGGGAGCCGAGCCAGCGAGTCATTTGTGCGTTAGGCCTATTTGTGCGGCTAAGTGCGGTGAATCACGGTGTTATTTCAGCCCTATGGAAAGGAAGGGGCCACACCATGCACTCTCGCTTGAAAAAAAGCTGCAAACTCTTCGGGAGCTCGATCGAAGCAACCTGCTCAAGAGGGAGGTGGCGAACGAATACATTCCGAAATCGACGCTGTCGCGGATCTGGAAAGACAGAAAATATGGAAGGCACTGTTAAGGGGAGACACGGGTCTTTGCCAAAAAATCAATTTTTCAAAATATCTTTATCTCGACGTTGTTATTGCGTTCTAAAAAGATCTTCATGATCACTCTCTCTCGAAAACGCCCCCCCCCCCCCCCCCAAATGGGCAATTTCAATGCCGTCGTCTGCGGTAGCCGGAGCGCGGCCATTTTGGAATCATTCGAAAGCTAAATTCTTCAGCAATCTGGTCTTAGCGAGAAAACAACTCTAAGTCTGGCGACTATGGAGCTACACGCCACTGAAAAGGAGGGAATACTCGCACGGCATTGGCGCATTTGTACCACATGGGGCGAATCCTGCTCTCCGATTGGACAACCGAAAATTTCGTCTGCCCGACTGTGTGCAACAATGCGCGACTCCTTGTCACAAATTGTTCGGACGCGACGATGGCTGGCGGGCGACGCAAATTCGCGACAGCTCATGCCTACCGCAAAAAACGCAAGCGTCGGTCTCGGATACCTGAAGCAGCGTCGAGTGAATCGACGGTGACGAGCTCCGCGACATGCCCCAGCGAATCTACGATATCCACCGAAGATGCAGCTGCGCAAGCGATTCCTGTGGCCGACGACACGAGGACAACGCACGTCGATACGCATTTTGTGACAGAAGCTGAAAAAGTGGCAATTGAGCATCGCGCGGAAGAGTAACGACAGAAGCTGTCTTCGTTATCAGCTACCTGCCGAAAGCGGTCGCTTATCGGAGATTCTCCGGAAGCGGCGGGGTCCGGTGCCGAGTTCACGCTGCGAAGCCTACCGCTGCTAAACCAACTGCTTCGGTGCGCGAAATGCGAATTCTGCTCTGGCCCATCGAACGTTTCACGGGGCGACCGTGAGTACGGATTGGCAGTTAGAATAGTGGTGAACTGTGCCGTCTGCGGAGATGGCAGCGTCGGATGGAGCTCACCGAGAGCAGGGGGAATGCGACCTGTAACCCTTTCGAAGTAAATGTGCTTGCAGCTCGTGCAGTTATGAACAACTAGAAAAAGTTATTTTTCTGTGGTTCAAGCCTGCACGGACTTCCAGTTTGCCCATAAGTGAACCAATTCTCGAGCAGAAAGCTCGAGAAATCACCATGCAAATGGGTGTTGTTAAGAACTTTGTCCAAAGCGACGGATGGCTCAGCGGCTTCAAAACGCGCCATGGCGTAGTCTTCAAGGCAATCTCAGGGGAGAGTGGTGCAGTCAACAGGGACATTTGCACCGACTGGCAACAGGGACGGCTTAAGGAAATTTTGATGAGCTTTGAGCCACGAGACGTCTTCACTGTCGACGAGATGGGTTTTTTTTTATAAGGCGCTTCCATCAAAGGCTCTTACCTTCAAAGGCGAAGCCTGCAGCAGAGGAAAACGCAGTAAAGATTGAATCACTGTGCTGGTGGGTGCAAACATGGCAGGAGATGAGAAATTGAAGCTGTTGGTAATGGGAAACTCGAGGCACCCACATTGTTTTAGAGGCGTTCGACACCTGCACGTTGCGTACCATGAGAACGGAAGAGCGTGGCCATTTTCAAAAACCGGCTTCAAAAGAAACACACAAGATTTACGAGGCAAGGCAGGAAGGTTGTCTTTATCGTGGATAGTTGCCTAGCCCACGGTCAAGTTCAAGGACTCCAAGCCATCACTCTGGAGTTTTTGCCTGCCAATGCAACGGCAGTGATCCAGCTGTTGAATCGAGGGGTTATTCAGAACATTAAAGTTCACTACCGCCGACAATTGTTCCATCAAATGCTGCTTTGAGCAGGCAGCGAGAAATGCTACAGCATAAATTAACTTGCAGC